ACTTTTCTTGTTCGCTTTAGTGCCACACAACAGAAACATGTGATCAGCATCAGGTTAATTTTTTTTCTTTAATTCCAAATATTATTAAAAATCGAACGGGTAATTAATGTATTTGTATTCCATGTTAATTATGATACTGGGATATTATCGCAGGCCGAACGCAGCTCTGCCAGGTCTTTCGGTTTAGAAAAAATTATTTTAAAAAAATGAGCTTCAATGATAATTCTTGGAAAGGAAAGGGATTTTTCCAGCCTGATAGTCTTGGCATGGTGCCAAAAAGCGGCGCTGCTCTTTCTGAAGATCGAGGGCTGAACTCCACCGATTGGGTAAGCAGCCTCTGTAAATTCGATTCGGTAGTAAATTGGCATTAGCGCATACCAAAGAGTCAAAATCACTATCGGTTTTTTTCAAGCTCCCTTCAAGAGAGGGTACCATCGTTAACTTTGCCGGCGGATGGTTGCTGTTGGCAACTTTTTGTCACTTTGGTTGCGTTAACTTGCATGAGTTTCTTAAGAAGAATTTTTTGTTTTCCTTTTTTTTCGTTTTGTTTTTTCTTATTTTGAATCTTTTGAAAAGCTTTTGTTTGATTTGTTTTTCGAGTTTTCCGGAGAAAATGAAGGTTTTAGAAACGGCGTAAAAGTAAAAAAGCTCAATTAGTGTTTCTTCTATCACGGGAATATAGATGGGATGTTTAGTTTCAATGGTGAAGTGAAACATACAAAAGTGGAGCAAGCCCCGGATGGACGCTATTATCTCGATGAAAGTACAATGTTTGCAACAGTTGTGGTTAGTACCAATAGCACTACTCTCTACTGATATCAATTAGCTTGACAGGAAAATAATAATATAGCTAAAAAATTTGAATTTTACCTGAAATAGCTGATTTTAGGTAAAGGAATAGAAACATCCGTTTCCACTTACAAAGAAATTGGACACCATGGCTTTGCTGCTTGATTTTTCAGTTTCCAAGCATTTCTGTTAAAAATTAACTTAAAAAAACAGGGGTTTGGATGGTATGACTTTTTTGAGTTTTCAGAATTTTTCTTTCAGAATATTTACTTCAGTTTAAAATATTGGGAAAAATATTTCCTCCAATTTAAAATACTGCAAATTTAACCGCCGAAAAATTGATCATTTACAAAGAATTGATTTCTTTTTTTTTTTTTCCAGGAACTCGTCAATTACTACCGAGATCACAACTTGCGAGAATCGTTCGAAACATTAAACACATGCTTGAATGAGGCATTCATTCCAAAACCTGTTTATATTGCAATACACAATTTTGAGGCGACCGAAGCAAATCTACTGTCATTGGAAGTTGGCCAACGTGTGTATGTTATCAACAGGGCTGGTGAAAGTCGAGGATGGTGGAAAGGTCGAAGTGGAAGTCGAGTAAGTTAAGCAGCATTGATTGCGTACCGCGTGCTTTTAAAGGAAAAATAAGAATACCCTAGAAAAACTGTTAGTTTACAGCTTGATTCACCATCTGTTTGGTTGGCAGTGTCGTATAACATATCAGATAATGATTAATGGTTTTTGTTAAAAATAGATTAAAAATCAATTGCGTTACTATGACGCAGTACCCCTGTCCCTGGTTCAAACTTTAACCACTCTACCCTCATTGAACTTTCGATCTTTGTGCCGTGGGATATAAAAGCACTTCTCCTCATCGCCGGAATCTTCATTTTTATCTACCAGCCTTTGCACCTATTTTATTTAACTATACTCCTATTCTGGGGAACTTCAGCTTCCCAGAGCCTTAC